GGCCCCGGGGGCGCGGACCCCCAGGGCGGGGGCGCCATCCCCTTCTCCGGCAGCAAGGCCAGCCCGCGGGTGTGGAGCGTCGGCCGGTCCATGGGCAGCGACCACGAGCGGCCGTGGGCGAAGGTGCTGCCGCTCAGCCTGCTGTGCGTGGGGCTGCTGCTCTGGTGCGTGCTCAGGGAGAAAACGGAGCTGGACGAGCGGCTGGAAGCGGCGTTCGCCGGGCAGGTCGCGGACCCCTCGGATGCGGCCCCGGAAAGCCCCGCTCCGCTGCGGGGCCGGGAGTAGGAGCGGGAACGCGGCTCCGGGAGCTGCCGGAGGTCGGCGGCGTTCACCTGGTGAAAAGCTGTACTGACACTTCCGTGGGAAAACTTGTTTTCCCAGCCTGTCGGCAGCCGTATCTTGGAAGCTGATTCCCTCATGTGTTCTGCTCTCTGTGCTGGTTTTGGCTTAGCAATTTATGTTGCTGTCGCGAGGAGCAGTTCTTTCATGGCACGTGAGGTATGTACAGGATGTATAAAAATCAGCTTATATTGGAAAATACGTTTTATACAACCCATCTCTCTATCATCGATTATTTCTCTTATGTACACAGTGTATTAAAATATCAAAGCTGTAAGGCTATAAAATTGCTGCTGAACGTGACCTTCATTTGACATTTTGCTAGTCAGAGCGTTCAACTTATTTTGAAGACAGTTTTAAGTGTATGATTTGTTAACATGATTCTTTGTGTTCTGATTATTTTAAAAAAATCACTAAATAACATACAAATTACCTTCTAAACGCATAGTTGGCTTTCTGAACTAGAACTTTACAGACACGCTGTATTTAGGTGATCATTACTAGTAGGAAAGAATTTAGTGGGGAATCAAAGTGATCGGCTTGCGTGATATTGCAGAGGAAACCCTTAGTTTTATTGAACAAGGTAGTAACTAGTTTTTCCTACAGGTTCACAAATAGTCAAACCTGCATACTCTGGAGACTTATCGGAGAGGAAGATTCTAAGTTCCGAGTACTCCTTGGTTCTCTTCAAAGTTAGAGGCATTTTCTTTAAGCTTTCAAATGTAAAAATGCAAGGCTGTCGTTGTGCCATTACAATTCCTGATTAAAAAAGCAAAGGAAAACAAACCCCAAGCACGTCAGCAGCCTGCGGGACAGCGGGTGCTGCCGCGAACGCTGCGTGGCGCTGGTTCCGCGGGGGATGCCTGCGGTGCAGCAGGCGGTGGAAAGGCGCGGGTGGCTGGTCCCTCCGGGCTCAGCCCGCGCTGCGATCCCGCCTTTCCCACGGGATTCCCGCCGGGGCAGCGCGCGCCGGGGGCGGGGCAGCGCGCGCCGGGGGCG